GTATTGACTGTCATTTTTAAAGTCCGTTGCAGATTCCATCAGTGCATGTTGAGTTGTTTTTTAATACTGTAGAAAAGGTTACGTGTAAAGTGTTTATTTTTGGTTAGAGGGAAATGAGGTCACGAGTTAAAGTGGGGGAATGTCCGATGGAGCAAAATTTTTGAAGCCTTTGAAACATGGATATTTCCTGTTCTGTGGCTTCTCCAGGGTTTTGCTTTAACTTCCATCTGATGTGCTTGTCAGCCTTTATGTAGCTTCCACGATAACGAAATGCAAGTAGGAGGGCTGTCATCTCGTTTACTGGTTGCTGCTGACGTCTATCAGATTTCGGCTTTGCTGTGTGCTTTACCCTTCCCAAGGACTATGGGACTTTCTGACGTGTCCAGAGTTAAAAGTCAGGTGAGGGACGGTGAACTTTGAAACTACTCTGCCGTGCTCTTCCCAACTTTCCTGGAGTTGTGCCTTTGTATACAGCTGGCGGCGCGAGCGCAGGCTCTTTTGGAAGCTATTCTGAGGCCGCATCATTTCTCGTTCTCGGTAAGTCCTGCTCGTTCTCGGTAAGTCCATGTTTTTCACATTAGCATTTTTGTTGGGGAAAGGGTTTTATGTGAGATGCCGAACGTAGTCGCGGTTGTAGACCAAATTCAGGCTTCGGAGGCGACGGTGTGCTCCCCTCTACCGCCGTAGGCGAAGGTCGCGACGGTGAGACAAAGTGATCAGGCTAGCTTAGGGCGATATTGTTTGACGGATGGGCGACAGTTGCCACGTGGGTAGATTGTTTGTTTATTAATGGTGGAATTTGGTGGAATTGGTTGTGTTTCTAACTCAAAGTTAAGCGACGGACGGTTTGAGTGAGCTTGTGGCCTGAACCAATGGCTTATTTTTAGTTTTTGTTGTCGTTGTTCTGATTGTTTGTTGCTGTTGTTGCGAAGGAGTCTACTTAATTGTTATTAGCGTGTAGCGGTGTTTTGTTTCTAATAATAAAAGCTTTAATTATCCAAGTTCGAGGTCTGAAAGTCCGCCGAATCAACGAGGCGCATGGAAGGAACCAGGATTAGGAAGCCTTTCAGATACCATTCAGAACTTTTTACAGTCTGTCGCAGCTACCGACAGGAATCATGAAATTGAGGAAACGTCTGTTACAGCTTTTCCTCTACACGTCCCTGCGGGGAACCTTTTCCTTTTTTGTTCTCTTGTAAGATATAACTAGCCGTTTGCTATCTTACAAGAGTGCGACACACTAAAGAATGCGCTTACTGTGAACTGGCCTATGACTGTTTTGTATTTAAGTTGCTACTACTTGCGGATCTTTCGCAGTAACTTCTGTTTAAATGAATAACTTCTAGACAAACTCCAAATTAACTTTACGTCTTGAAGGGGTATTGTCTAAATTAACTTGCTCTTATAGTGTATTTACGTTCCTTTCTTGTTTTCTAAGGGACAGTATTTTAACCTATTTATTGGCGTTAAACTTTTAAAATACGGCAATAAAAACAACGTAATAATTAATTATTTATTATTTCAGAGCAGTACAATAATGCTAGATAAAAAAGAACAGAAAAGATAGACTTAACACGAGGTCACAAGAAGAATTTCAAGGGACTGAATCTACAGCAGTTAACACTGAGGACCGCAATTTGTGGCAGAACAATTGGTAGTAATCATCAAATTTTTGGAGTTCAGCTGGATGATGTTGCTTCGTTTATTGGTCTGAGCTGGCATCTCCATCCGTTCTCGCCTCCAAAAGCGTCCTTTTGAGGTCAGACTGAGCCAAATGCA